CGTTAGCGACACAGATTGCTTTAAACACTACAATACCTGGTCTATCTAATTAACCTTCTCTACAGGTATGCACTACAAGGAGACACTGTATACTCACTCTACTTAAGGAGTCACGAATCAGTCACAACAAACATTACTACCTCCACTATAAACAACAAACATTACTACCTCCTCTACAAACATTACTACCTTCTCTACAAACAACAAACATTACTACCTCCTCTACAAACAACAAACATTACTACCTCCTCTACAAACAACAAACATTACTACCTCCCCTACAAACAACAAACATTACTACCTCCTCTACAAACAACAAACATTACTACCTCCACTATAAACAACAAACATTACTACCTCCTCTACAAACATTACTACCTCCACTATAAACAACAAACATTACTACTCTCTATAAACAACAAGATATTTCTATAAACAAACATTACTTACCTCTACAAACAACAACAAACATTAATAATTTATAAACAACAAACATTACTACTCCTCTACAAACAAATAAAAACATTACTATATTCTACCATGAAAAACAAATAAAACATTACTACTTTTAAACAAATTAAACACATACCTCGAAACAAATAAAACATTACTACCTCTATAAACAACAAACATTATCACAACACTTCCCACAAACAACAAACATTACCACCGCACAAACAACAAACATTACTACCTCTATAAACAAATAAATGATACATTACCTCTACAAACAACAAACATTACTACTTCCTACAAAACAACAAACATTACTATCTTCTAATAAACAAATAAACATTACTACTCTCTATAAACAAATAAACATTATTACCTCCTCTACAAAACAAATAAACATTACACTTCTATAAACAACAAAACACATACTTCTCTCACAAAACAAACAAACATTACTAATTTATAAACAACAAACATTACTACCTCCTCTACAAACAACAAACATTACTACCTCCACTATAAACAACAAACATTACTACCTCCTCTACAAACATTACTACCTCCACTATAAACAACAAACATTACTACCTCTATAAACAACAAACATTACTACCTCTATAAACAACAAACATTACTACCTCCTCTACAAACAACAAACATTACTACCTCTATAAACAACAAACATTACTACCTCCTCTACAAACAACAAACATTACTACCTCCACTATAAACAACAAACATTACTACCTCCCTCTATAAACCCAGCAAACATTACTACTCCTCTATAAACAACAAACATTACTACCTCCTCTATAAACAACAAACATTTTACCTCTATAAACAACAAACGGTTCCTCCTCACAAACAGCAAACATTACTGCTCCTCTACAAACATTACTACACTCCTCTATAAACACAACAAAAATATTTACCAATTCTATAAACAACAAACATATCTTCTATAAACAACAAACATTACTACCTCTATAAACAACAAACATTACTACCTCTATAAACAACAAACATTACTACCTCCTCTATAAACAACAAACATTACTACCTCTATAAACAACAAACATTACTACCTCTATAAACAACAAACATTACTACCTCCTCTACAAACATTACTACCTCCTCTATAAACAACAAACATTACTACCTCCTCTACAAACAACAAACATTACTACCTCCTCTATAAACAACAAACATTACTACCTCCTCTACAAACAACAAACATTACTACCTCCTCTATAAACAACAAACATTACTACCTCCTCTACAAACAACAAACATTACTACCTCCACTACAAACAACAAACATTACTACCTCCTCTATAAACAACAAACATTACTACCTCCTCTATAAACAACAAACATTACTACCTCTATAAACAACAAACATTACTACCTCCCCTACAAACAACAAACTATTTCAAACAACATCCGACTTTCTGATAAACAAAATGGTGATTAATTAACGTATGCAGATCATGTCGAAACACACACACACACACACAGACACACACACACACTCACACACACACACACACACACACACACACACACACGAATCATAATAACCGGGTCCCAATAACAAATAATTCCACCATCTCATTCTTAAGAAATAAGTAAACAGTTAACATATCTCCAAGACCACTTTTATTATCGTGGTGTAAACATTCGTATTTCGCGTCTATAAACATTAGTGATTGTAAACACCTTTATTATGGTTTTATAAACAATATAAACATTTGTGGGATGTATATAATGTTTAAGGTATCCGTAAACACTGTTATAGTTGCGTGTGATGATTATTGGAGTAGAGAGGAGGAGGTAGGGAAGGAAGAGGAGAAGGAAGAAGGAGGAGGAGGTAGGGAAGGAAGAGGAGAAGGTAGGGAGGAGTAGTAGGAGAAGGAAGAAGGTAGAAAGGATGTAAAAGATGGAGAGGGAAGAAGAAATAAGAAGGAGGGAAGAGGAGGAAGGAAGGGTTAGGAAGGAGGAGAATGAAGGATGAAGGAAGGAGATGGAAGAAAGAGGTGTGTGTATGTATGTATGTATGTGTATGTATGTGTGTGTGTGTGTGCGTGTGTCCGTACCTTATTGTGATATGGTCGGGTCCGTTCCTATTAATTGGTGAGAACGTTAGGGTTGGCTGTCCATATGAACGGCCTCCGGTCCACTCTCTCTTTTTCTCTCTCTCTCTCTCTCTTTTTCTCTCTCACTCCCTCTCCTTCTCTCTCACTCCCTCTCCTTCTCTCCCACTCCCTCTCCTTCTCTCCCACTCCCTCTCCTTCTCTCTCTCTCTCTCTTCCACACTTCTCTCTCACTCCCTCTCCTTCTCTCTCACTCCCTCTCCTTCTCTCCCACTCCCTCCCTCCTTCTCTCCCCACTCCCTCTCCTTCTCTCTCACTCCCTCTCCTTCTCTCCCACTCCCTCTCCTTCTCTCCCACTCCCTCTCCTTCTCTCTCACTCCCTCTCCTTCTCTCTCACTCCCTCACCTTCTCTCTCACTCCATCTCCTTCTCTTCCACTCCCTCACCTTCTCTCCCACTCCCTCTCCTTCTCTCCCACTCCCTGTCCTTCTCTCTCACTCCCTCTCTCTTCATCTCTAAAGGGAACACCTGCAACATATGCCCACGAAGGAACACTCGGGGCGTCCCAAAGACTCTTCATCATCTACCAATCGACTTGTGAATCTACCTGCCCCATCTACTTTAAGAGGAGGGGGAAAGAGGAGAGCGGAAGGGGAGGCGGGGAGGGGGGGAGGAGGGAGGGGGAGGGAGTGGGGGAAGTTCCAACATATAATTCACTGTAAAAAATTGACACCTTTTTTTCTTCACCTTTTTTGTTGTTGTTGTTGTTGGTACGTGAGGAAAGGTTTGGAGGCTCTGGGAGGTAGAGAACGGGTTGTTGGAGGGGCACAGTCAATGGGTATTTTCTCATAACGGAGCAGTAATGGATATTTATTTATATTATATTCCCAACCTGTAGTCTAAACCAACTTGAGGTACTACAGCCTGGCTTCAACAGTATGGAGACTCGTTCCAGCTGTTCAGTGAGTCCTAGCTGTTGAGAGACTCGTTCCAGCTGTTTAGAGACTCGCCCCAGTTGTTCAGAGACTCGTTCCAGCTGTTTAGAGACTCGTCCCAGCTGTTCAGAGACTCGTCCCAGCTGTTCAGAGACTCGTCCCAGCTGTTCAGAGACTCGTCCCAGCTGTTCAGAGACTGTTCAGAGACCTCGACTCCCAGCTGTTCAGAGACTCACCATGAGACCCGTGATAGACGGATGCAGCCAGCTTATTCAGTATGTATTTTCGTTGCGCCGTATATGTGCGGTGGGACTACGTGAAGATTGGACACCTAGATTATTTAACCTGTTTCTTTATGGCCCTAATGTTACCTTAGCTATAACAAGGTAGGTAAGGTAAAGTAAGGTAAGGTAAGGTAAGGTAAGGTAAGGTAAGGTAAGGTAAGGTAAGGTAAGGTAAGATAAGGTAAGGTAAGGTAAGATTAGGGTAAGGTAAGGTAAGGTAAAGGTAAGGTAAGGCAAGGGTTATAAGTTATGTTAAGGTTAAGGTTAAGGTAAGGTAAGGTAAGGTAAGGTAAGGTAAGGTAAGATTAGGGTAAGGTAAGGTAAGGTAAGGTAAGGTAAGGTTATTTAATCATTAGGTGAAATAAGCCGGGGTGCCTAATCCTCATGTGATCCATACTATATACCAAATAAACAAACATTTTAATGCTTATGTGTTTTATTATGTGTCTCAGTTAAAGATTACAAGCTGTCAAACTTAACCAGAGAGTCACAGATTTTAAGCTTCAATCAATCCATCCATTAAGGTAAACAGTATCACCTCTGAGGATAGTCAACCACGGCCCTCCACTCCCTAATGAAAAAAACAACAACAAAAGAGTGGAGGGCCGTCGTCACCAACCCTCAGATATAAGAAATAACACCTTGAATGGTTACTAATTACCCTCCTTAACTCTCAGGTGAAGTAAACATCAACTGACGACCAAAAACACAATGACATTTACCCAAAACAAAACAGGTAATGTGTAACCCAGAGGCTGTGAAGGGACCCAGATGGCGTTACCATAGAGTGAGTCTTAAGTATTAATTAATAGTGTAGAGGTGTGTGTTGGGGGGGTGTATGTGTGTCTGGGGTGTGTAGATTTGTATGTGTATGGGGGGAGGAGGAGGAGAGGTGTGTGTGTGTGGGGTGGAGGGCGCAACGAGTGTACTAATGTTATTGGGGTTGGGGTGGATAGTTAGGGTTGGTGGGGCGAGGAGGTGGATGTGTTGAGGTTGGAGGGACGGTAGGGTGGGTGAGTTAGGATGGGGGGTTGGGGTGTGCTGTTGAGGTGATAGGGGTGATGGGGTTGGTAGGTGGGGTTGGAGGGGTAGTGGAATGGGAATGTGAGGTTGTATAGGTTGTGGGGAGGGGAGATTATGGGGGAGAGGAGGTTGTAGGTTCTCAGGGAAGGTTGTGGGTTACAGGGGGAGGTTGTGGGGGAGGGAGATTGGGGTGATACAGAAGGAACACGTTACCTGTGTGTAGACTGGCTGTGAGGAGCAGGAAGATTAGGACAGGAGACAGCAGAGGGGGCCATAACGGGGCCACGGTAGTAGCGCCCCTGGCCGCCATCTTGAGGGCCCAGCCTGCGTCCTGCAGCTCTCTGGCGTCACTCGAGGCTACGCTTGACTACAGCCTCATGGGCAGTCATCAGCCGACACTTACACCCACTAGCACTCGGGGGCAGCGCGCCCCACCCCCGCCATACGCTGGCTGTGTGTGTGCTGGGCAGCACAGGTCATGCAGGGCGGCTGGGGGTCGCGGAGCTTGACACAGAGCGGGCGGCGGCGACACACTGAGCGCCGCGCACCCAGCCTCCCGCGACGCGCACCAGCACACACGCACCATGTATTGACGCCGGCACGTCGATACTCTACCCCGGCCCCCCGCCTGCACCCGCGCCACACACGCCCGCACGCCCACACCGCGAGCATCACCACACACCCGCATGCCCACATCACGAGCATCACTACACGCCCGCATGCCCACACTGTGAGCATCACCACACGCCCGCATGCCCACACCACCAATATTACCACATGCAAGCATGCCCACACCGCGAGCATCACCACACGCCCCTGCATCACTACACGCCCGCATGCCCACACCGCGGGCATCACCACACGCCAGCATGCCCACACCGCGAGCATCACCACACGCCAGCATGCCCACACCGCGAGCATCACCACACGCCAGCATGCCCACACCGCGAGCATCACCACACGCCAGCATGCCCACACCGCGGGCATCACCGCACGCCAGCATGCCCACACCGCGGGCATCACCACACGCCAGCATGCCCACACCGCAAATATTACCACGCTCACATATTCACACCTGGGTGACCATGCCCGCACTGCGTGAATTATTGTGCCCAACCGCCCACTCCATGAGGATTATTGCACCAACACGCCCACCATTACACCCACACTCCTACCACTTACCCACACTCCTACCACTTACCCACACCACTACCCCCCATACCCATAAAACCATGGAGACTATTACCCCTCTTGTCACCCCCTGCTTGGCCACCCTACCCATGGCCATCACCCTCTGCTTGGCCACCCTACCCCTGGCCATCAGCCCCAGCCTGGTAACAATCACCCCCCTTGGTCATTACCTCCCCACTCCCCGATCTCCCCTCCCCTCCTAACCACTTCCCTCCCTTTTCCCCTGACCAATGCAGTACTTCGACACTTTCCTCTAACTACTTCCTCTCCCCTTCCGATTAGGAACTATCCTACTTCCGTTTATTGTCATCTACTTTGTCACTACCCCTTTGGCCAGACATCCCCGGGCCACTACCCTCTCTCTGGTCAACATCACCTTCCCTCCACCCCTGGCCACCACCTCCCATCCAACCCTGGCCACCACCTTCCATCCACCCCTGGCCACTACCTTCCATCCACCCCTGGCCCACTACCCTTCCCTCCACCCCTGGTCACCACCTCCCCTCCACCTCTGGCCACCTACCTCCCTCCACCCCTCCACTACCTTCCCTCCACCCCTGGCCACCACCTCCCTCCACCCCTGGTCACCACCTCCCTCCACCCCTGGCCACGACCTCCCCTCAACCCCTGGCCACCACCTCCTCCACCCCTGGCCACCACCCCTCCTCCTCCTCCACCCCTGGCCACCACCTCCCTCCACCCCTGGCCACCTCCCTCCACCCCCTCCACCTCCCTCCACCCCTGGCTCACCACCACCCCTCCACCCACCTGGCCACCTCCCCTCCACCTCCACTCCCTCCCTCCACCCCTGGCCAACACCTCCACCCCTGGTCACCACCACCCCTCCACCCCTGGCCACCACCTCCACCCCTACCCCACTCCACCCCTGCCACCTCCCCTCCACCCCTGGCCACCACCTCCCTCCACCCCTGGCCACACTCCCCCCCCCTCCACCACCTCCCTCCACCCCCCACCACCTCCCTCCACCCCTGACCACTACCCTCCCCTCCACCCCTGGCCACTACCCTCCCCTCCACCCCTGGCCACCACCTCCCCTCCCCCTCCACCACCTCCCTCCCACCCCTGGTCACCACCTCCCTCCACCCCTGGCCACCCCTACCCCTCCCTCCACCCCCTGGCCACTACCCCCTCCACCCTCGCCACCACCTCCCTCCACCCCTGGCCACCACCTTCCCTCCACCCCTGGTCACCACCTCCCTCCACCCCTAGCCACTACCCTCCCCTCCACCCCTTCACCACCCCTCCACCCCCACCCTCCCTCCCTCCACCCCTGGCACCCTCCCTCCACCCCTGGCCTCACCACCTCTCCACCCCTGGCCACCACCTCCCTCCCTCCACCACCTCCCTCCACCCCTGGCCACCACCTCCCTCCACCCCTGGCCACTACCTCCCCTCCACCCCTGGCCACCACCTCCCCTCCCACCCCTGGTCACCACCTCCCCTCCACCCCCCCACTACCCTCACCACCTCCTCCCCCCCCACACCCTCCCACCCCTCCACCCCTGCCACCACCTCCCTCCACCCCTGGCCACCACCTCCCTCCACCCCCTGGCCACCACCTCCCCTCCACCCCTGGCCACTACCCTCCCTCCACCCCTGGCCACCACCTCCCTCCACCCCTGGCCACCACCTCCCTCCACCCCAGTGGCCACCACCTCCACCCCTGGCCCACCTCCCTCCACCCCTGGTCACCACCTCCCTCCACCCCTGGCCACTAACCTCCCCTCCACCCCTGGCCACCACACCTCCCTCCACCCCTCAACCTCCTCCACCCCAGCCACTACCTCCCTCCACCCCCTTCCTCACCCCTGGCTCCACCCCTACTCTCCCTCCACCCCTTCCCCTCCCTCACCTCCCTCCACCCCTCTTCCCTCCTCCACCCCTGGCTACCCTCCCTCCACCCCTGGCCACCACCTTCCCTCCACCCCCCACCACCCTCCCCTCCCACCCCTGGCTACCTCCACCCCTGGCCACCCTACCCCTGGCCACCCTCTCCCTCCACCCCTGGCCACTACCCTTCCACCCTGGCCCTACCTCCCCTCCACCTCCTCCACCCGTGTTCTTATATACCCACCAACCTAACCGCCCACCTACCACACCTACCCTGTCCAAGTGATACGCCGCCCACCTACCACACCTACAAGTGATACGCCACCCACCTAACACACCCTTCACAAGCTATACGCCACCCACCTACACATCACAACACATCCCGAGTCAACATATCCCGGTAACTTCCTAGGCACAGTTGAGCCTAGCCGGTGACCAGGTGCTAGCTAGGATCAAGCCAAGAACCTCCTCAGCCAGTCTTTAAACTTGGCCTCCAGAGTCTGTGGTGCTGACAGTAGGGCGAGGTCACGAGAGGACAAGCCTTACACGGACTGATGATGATGTGTGAGTGAGTGTGTGTGTGTGTGTGTGTGTGTGTGTATTATACTGATAAACGACGTCTTAAATGAAAGATAACAAAGATTTGCATATATGACCTTATTTCTCCTCAAGTTATGACCATATTAACAAATAGTTGTGTTGTAAGGTTTAACATTGGGTCGTTATCCTTATTTATCATGACACACACACCCACACCCACACAACCACACCTACATCCACCCACCCTTACCTAGGACCACCCACCCTTACCCACACACCCTCACCCACACCCACCTACCCTTACTTACACATCCACCCACACCATTAACCAACCACACCCACCCACTCACCCATCCACACGCACACACACACACACACACACACAGACAGACAGACAGACAGACATACATACATACATACATACATACATACATACATACATACATACATACATACAGTGCCTTTAGTACAAACTAACCTTAGTTTTCAAGAGACAATCGGGGTGTAAACACGTATTATTAAAGACCACTATTTGTGTTGTCAAGCTGCCCCACACCGTGTTCTACCCTGGCAGCCGACCAAGAGACGTGTCCCCTCCACCACACTGTGTTCAAGACTAATCCATTTTGACCAACCTAACCCTCTTTATATGGTCACAAAGAAGGTGATTCACATTCTCAGCTAACGATCGTTGCTTATTTATGATCGTACGTTGAGTTTTATTACTAAACGGTTAACGAGACGCTGCCTTAACTAGATACGTTCACTTGAGCAACAGTTTAAAGACAATATTTAAATAACAAAATAATTCAAGAACAGGAAAATAACCTTAGAAAAATAAAATGGGACGAAGGAGAGAAGAAGAAGGAGGAGGAAAATAATAATAAAAGTAGGAGATTGTAAATTCAGATAATGAGGGAATGAAAACAAAGAGATTAAAAGGTTTGAGTTTGTAATGCGTAGTGTTGACACAGGAGAGGAAAAAGAAAAAAAAGTAAATATTACAAGAGAATGGATAGCAATGTTACTCTCTCTCTCTCTCTCTCTCTCTCTCTCTCTCTCTCTCTCTCTCTTTCTCTCTCTCTCTCTCTACTCAGCTATATATTTATTCAATCATCATCATCATCATCATCATCATTTACCTTTACCTCGTCTGAGTCATCTGTACACCTGTTAATCACCTTACCTGTCGGGTCGTTCCTTAGGTTGAAGTATATCCCATTGAATCTCCTCCTGGACCAGTTCTCTAAAAGCCTGTAACCTGAATGACTGAAATGACAGGTAATGACAGGTAATGACAGGTAATGAAGGAAGAGTCTTTGTACTACAGTGAAAGAAAACGTGTGAGACGAATACAAAAACAAACGGTGTTGGTGACTGTTTGTGTGATTTTTTTTTGCATGTGTGTTTGTTTGATGAGATTGACGTGTTTGTAAGTATGTCCTTGGCTACCTTACCTGGGTGTTATGCTGTTTTTAAATATCCTTCAATATTATTATGGTCTTTAAGAGTGTGTAATGAAGTTAATAATTAATTACATAGGTCTATGAATAATTCCTAATTATATATCAACCTTCTATTACACAAACGATTATATCTCTCTGTGTGTCTGTTTGTTTTTTCCACTTTTGAGTTTTATACGTCAGTTAATAATGCAATTTTCTGGTTTTTTTTTTCTTTTTACCTTCTTGGATTATTTGTCTGTTTAATTATTTTTTCATTGGCTCTAAGATATTACATTGAAATATTATCATCATTATTGTGTTTATTTTTTAATTATTATCATCATGGTATCTTTCATTAATGTTTTATTAGGTAATATTCTGCATAAATCAACAATATTTATTTATATATTAGACTGTTCTTAATATCATCGATCTATTATCTGAAATATTATCATACTAATTTAGTGTTGATGTATAATTTCTAAAAGGTCTTT